ACTGGTCAAGAATTTTTAAAAATATATTTCACTCACAAAATCAAAAGAAAGAAAAGAAGAAATTTTATTTTGCTTTAAAAAAATAAATAGGATCGATATGATTTTTGCATCAATGCATTGTCATATATACTCCCACCTCTTCTTCTCCCAATATTACCAGTTGCATTTTCACTTTCCTGTCTGATAAACAGAAAAAAGCTCTTCATCTCACAGCTGGAATAAAATAATCAGTTTATAAACAAAGCCCGAACAATGTCTTCTGCTTAAATGAATACCTGAGTTTCAAAGAGCATGACATATGACTCAGAAAAAACAAGACATAACAAGAAAGAAAAAAATATTTGCTTAAAGCCGCACAAAGAGATGGTATGACAAAGCGAAAACAACACAATACTGCTACAAGCCCAAATAACAAACATCTACTAAAGCATTTTGAGGTTTTTCCTCCAGGTGGCGACAGCACACAACATTCACACAGCATGACAACACCTAAAAAAAATCACAATGGTCACAGTTCATCAACAGAAAAGCAACATACAAATAAAATAAAAAATACGAAATATTTATATAAACATTTTTCTGAAAGAAAATATTCAGCAAGGATGCATTAAATTGCTCAAAAATTGACAGTAAAGACTACATTGTTACAAAAGGTTTATATTTCAAATAAATGCTGATCTTTTGAACTAGCCTATGTTATTTATTAAAGAATCCTGAAATAACGTATCATGGTTTCCACAAAAATAGTGAGTTTTTAACATTGATGTCAATAAGAATTGTTTCTTGCGCACCAAATCAGCATATTAGAATGATTTCTGAAGAATCACATGACACTGAAGACTTGAAGTAATGACCGCTGAAAATTCAGTTTTGCAATTACAGGAGTAAATTACATTTTAAAATATACTAAAATAGAAAACAGTTATTTGACTCAACTGAAACTCTTCTTGCCCTAAACTCTGATGTCTTGTGCTGACAGATCCACACATGAATCACACTCTTAAAAAGGTCAGCAGCATAACACCAGTGTGAGAAAGAACAGCTTTATCCAAGTGCTGTGCTTTGACATTTTCACTGAACTGTTCCCACGGGAGTTTAATCGATATAAACTGTGTCAGACGCTTCTCTCTGTCTCATGGACAGAGCACCTCTTCACTATATGAGAGAAGAGATCATTACATTCACAAATGTCTACCTGGCAACCAATGAAAACGTACTATTGATTTATAATCATTACAGATAAAGATTTACAATTACATTTTTACATTTATACCTTAAGTTGCTAAATGGCCCAAATCAAAAAATGCAACCCCCTCAAAACTCACTATGATATTCTGATTCCTTGATATGACTTGGGCCCTTTTTCAGTGCAAGCCTATTGGATTTCTTTTGTCCATTTTATACCAGGTAAAATCTTAAACGGGTCATATTATTAAATTGCAACAAGAAAGAAAAATAATTTTATTGCCTTAATTTATGAATCACTTTTCTTCTAAGAGGATTTTACAGTAATGTTTGTCCTTGAAGTACTGCTGTAGTACAACATCTATATCAGTAGATGGTGCCGTGTGTCTATCACACCAACATATATAAATGCATGTAGATATTTACAAACTATATATATTTGCTCCCCATTTAAACATTTGCACAGGATGATTCCAGACCTTTCTATCGCCCAATGGCATATAGGTGTAACTAAATGTACATCTATCTGCAAAATAAATTTACTAATTTTCCAGCTAACACTGAATTCATCATTAGGTTTTTGGACCATATTTGGCTTGGTCTTACTGAATAATATTCAGAAATGTTTATATTGACAGCAAAACCATTTCTCTTTATTGCTGACTTTCTTCGAAAAATCACTTGATCGCTTTGAAGCCGTATGTCCCTCATACATTTCACTTGTGCTAATGATTCAATTAATTTTCATTACAGTGCAAAGGATTACTAGGCTGATCAGTTTGAGGAAAGGAGGGATTTTAAAAAGAAGTTTTAAAAATGGTAATTGCTCACCAATATCCTCTTAAAAGGTTTGGAATCCGTATCCCCTTCAGACCCGTAATATCTGAACCAAAACATAAAAGCTCTGTAGCGCGTTGCTAAATGTACCTAGTCACCACAAAAATGTATCTAGTTGTGTGTGTATGTGTGTACAGAACATTCTTAAAACTGTATTTTAAAGATAATATTTGATTTACCTTGTTGAATAAGTTAAGTCCTTACAGACGTACAACAGTTGCGTTTGTCAAATGAAAATTTAACCAAAGAACAGCATAATCGCACCAAACATAAAATTTGGCCCAGACACCACATTTGCTTTATAAAACTTTCACTCTTTGCATAGCTTCTGTGAACACTCGCACTTCTTTCTGTCTGTCTCCTTTGGGTTTTGTGGCAAACTTAAGAGTAGAGTTGAGTGGTTGTTGTTAGTGAAGACAGGTGCAGGCTTCACCCCACCCCCCCCACACACACACACAGAGGCACACACAGAGGCACACACAGAGACACACACAGAGACACACACACACAGTAAAAAACAGACCCAGTAGAAAGGGACTGGTCTGACAGAATGCCTTTTCACACCTGACTGGGCCTAGCATAGGGCGACAGGCCACAGCTCCCAAAGCACAACACCCACACACTCACACACAGGGGTATCTGTACTGTATTTAACTTTGAGCCCTCTAGATTCCAGGACAGTTTAAAGGCCTTAAAGACCGTCTGTTGAGGGTGACTCAATTTAAGTACCTACACACATAAACAGAACCAGGGCAGGACCCAGAGGATGAAAGTAATGCACAAACAGATGGACTCAGCCCAGCAGAACCAAGTGGACCCGCAGGAAACCATCACATGCTATTTTACGCCATTATAAAGCCTACAGACTCAGGAAAGTCCACATATGTCATCCACGGAGGCGCAGGGCGCCGGACAGCAATTCACTGTGACAGCAAATGGTCTTTTAACCTAGATATAACTCTTCTTTTTGGGGGTGCGACAAAATAGTTACCACTGATTATAACAATGATTTTAATTACACTACTGTAAAATATTTAATACTGGATCTCTTTCAAACTGTGTAAATCGCCCTGCATTCTTTCTGCTTTCTTTCTTTCTTTTTCTTTCTTCAGTGCATCTCATCTTGTTTTTGATTTAAAATCAAGATTTTAAATTGGACATCACATGCACCAAAATTGTACCAACACAGTATCAAAACTGGGTTGCACTTTATTTTAAGGTGACGTTGTTACGGTCTAATATTACACAAATAATTATTATTTTTTAAATAATTAACTGCATGCACTTACTATAGGGTTAGTGTTAGGATTAGGGTTAGTTGCTGGTAATTATGTATAATTTATTATTTTTACTATAGTAAGTACATGTAACATTTAACTATGTTACCGATTATTTTATCTTACAAAAATTAAAATGTCAAAATATATTAAATATATTTCAGACATGCATTAATATTACCAAGCATAAGCCTGTCAACATAGAAAATTATCCACATGCTGAATATGAAAATTGATATTATATTATTTTAAACAATTATAGTAAACAACAGCAGCAGAAGCTAATATCCGAGCCTGTAAAACTAAATTAGACAATTTGTGTTTTATAATTATTATAATTAATATAATAATAATATAATAATAATAATAAATAATATAATTATTATTTTTTAATTATATTTTATTTTAGTGAATTACATTTTTTCTAAACTGTATTTATATACTTATTTTTCACTTTTTCCTTGCAGTCCACAACCTTAATAAGAATAAAACGGTGACCCACCAGAAACAATGGCATCAATTTACCACAGTTTTACTGTACAAACAATAACTGTAATAACTATGGTATTTTGGCAGAAACAACAGATACCATGACACGCTTTTCAAAGAGGGATAATAATAATAATAATAATATCCATTTCCTTCTTTGTGCCATGAACTTAATTGGTACAAACTCAGGAAACACTATTTTTATTCAACACTGAGGGAAGAAATCAAAAAGCTCAGAAACAGTGAAAGTGAGAAAGATTTTTTTTTAAAGACTTTTAACCCTCCAACGCAGCTCTTTAACAGCCCTAGAGGCTACATTTTCTTTTCATTCCACCTTTCTTTTTTCTCTGTCTCCAGTCTGCCACCCCGCACACCAGGCTAGCGCTAACGATCTGGCCTTTTCATTAGGAAGCCTAGCTAATTAGACTGTGTGTGTGTGTGACGGGTCGAGTGACTGCTCGGCGCAGCGCGATGCTGGCAGCCCATTTCATGCTTTATCACGTCTTTTAATTGACAAACAACCTGCTCTTTTCTCTTAGGCTGAGGTCTATATTCCAGGAGTCTGAGCGGATGTGTGTGTGTGTGTGTGCAGATGTTCCAGCGCGCCCCTTGACGTTTAGCTGTGTGTGTGACTGTCACATGCCTTCTCACCCTGGTGGATCTTTGGGGAGAAAATGCTCAGTGAGTTTGCCAATTAACCACTTTCAGATTGTTCTGTGACAAAACACATACACACAGATGCAAATGCTGAGTAAAGCACACAGCGACCCAATAGAACTCATGTAAACAAATGTTGTCTATTTAAAGAATCACAAATATTTCGGAGACATTTTTAAATTCATTGTATCAAGTGACTTTATACACTTCAACACAAGTCTAGTTTTTAAAGCAACCCTTTGTGGTGAATGAAAGCGGATTTCTCCTCTGCTCAGACACTCCGTCAGGAGTCCACCATTCATACATGTCCACACAAAGGCAAAACCAGCAGGACGCATGGAAGCCACAATGATGACTAATAGTGCTCATGATGAATCTGTGTGTTTATACATGTGAGGTTTTATTACACACAAATGAGTGTTGGCTTCACTCTATTATTTGAGATGTTTAACATGTAAGGTCACCTGGAATTCCCTCAGGCAGACTCTATATGAATTCACACATAACTTGTCCTCACATTTTATATGAGAAACACAGAAACACATGAAAGCTTACCGTAATGTGATACTGTCTCCAGATTTCTGGGCAAGCCTGTTGAGAACAGAAAAAAAGACAATGAGAAAACCCAATATTTACATGAAAGGGAAGTCTGGCAGTTCAAAAACACAAGAAAAAATAACCATACAAAGGTTTATGGTAATTTTTTTTTTAATCTAAGGAGTGCTTCAGACATCCATTAGGACATGAATTCGAGACATTCCCCTTTTCTTTTTAGCATTGTTTATTTTTGTTATTGATCTACTATATACTTCCAAGCTTTGTTTTTTTTATCTTTGATTAAATGTACTGCAGAAGCAAAAAGTGAAACCTTTTAGGGCCTAATTGGAAAAACTTCACATAAACTCTATTTATAAAAGTAAACCAGTTTATGAAAGTAAATTTGTAAATATAATATGAAATTGATAAGGCAGATGCACAAAATAAAAGAAGATGAGAGACGAGATGAGAAGAAGTGGAGATTAAATAAGATGAGAGAATGAGAGAAAAGACAGGACAATGAGAGAAGAGAAGAGAAGAGAAGAGAAGAGAAGAGAAGAGAAGAGAAAGGAAATGTAACAAAGAGAAGAGAAGAGAAGAGAAGAGAAGAGAAGAGAAGAGAAGAGAAGAGAAGAGAAGAGAAGAGAAGAGAAGAGAAGAGAAGAGAAGAGAAGAGAAGAGAAGAGAAGAGAAGAGAAGAGAAGAGAAGAGAAAGGAAATGTAACAGGGAAAAAGAAAAAGAAAAGAAAAATGTAACAGGAAAAATAAATAAATGAACTGAAAAAGAAAGGAGAATAGTAGGATAAGAAAGAGGTGCAGTGTTGACAGCTCAAGCCGCCTCAACAGACACTGAGCGAGGGTGCTGTGAGCTTCCTACATCTCTCTGAAAATTGAAAGTGCTGGGGGCACAGCAGCTGGACTCATTTATACAGTTAGCTTTTCATTTAACCCCACCTGAGAGCCAGGCAGAGGCTTCAGCACCCCCTGTAGGGTTTACCCTGCTGAGTGTATTGAAGGAAACATTCAAAATCGCTAAGAATCTGCTTTCCTTTCCCTCACTCGCTGTGACAAGATGATACAGCAGTGAAGCTATTAAAAACATTTCCATACTGCCAAATACCAAAGCTGTTGTTTTGAACTTCCAGACTTGTTTTATTATTATTATTAATTAAAGTGACTGCCCTTACGGTGTTGTTCTTTTTCTAAGGACAGTTTACTGCCTATTGGTTGTCTAAAACCATTGGAGCTTTGACAATATGACTACATTTTTATAAACTCAAATATAGGAGGTGCTATGATTGTGGGGAAATAAAAGTCTTTTGAACACTAAGGAACATCAGACAAATATTGAAGCCAATTTGAAGCAAGTTCACATTTTCACATCCAAATGAGCTTTGTGGCAAATTAAACACAAATAGTGTTTACAAGGGAACATGTTATCAGGGTGATTAGTGTTACAAAAAACGCCAAACATAGAAAAAAGGTTTTACAATAGTTCAAAGTAATAAAATAACGGTAAGAGTGAAACCATATAAGGAGAGAACATAAAAAAACAAACAGTCATGCAATAATTTTGAACTGAATATCTGAATATTTTTGAGGCTGAATATCTGTTCAGACTAAATTCAGTCATTTTCATACCCTAAACATGTAACAAATATGTAAATATGAAGAACTGAGGTCATTCATTATGAAGAAGTATGTTACAGTGAGCCAGAAACCGTAAAGTAAATGGCCTGATATTTGTTAACTCTCAGAGTTCATTAACGAACGCCACATAGCAGTTTTTGAGACTGCTGTAATTATAGATTATAAGCATAATTAAAAGTCATGTGTGGCGGCTGAAGAATTGTTTGTTCAGCTAACCAGTAAGATCAACTAGGGTCTGCATTCTATATTTACTTCTTATTCTAGATTCATAATCAATTAGAGATCTTAGAGGGATGATGGCCACTGTGATTTTTATCATGTGATGTGAGAACTTACTGAGCCTAGATAATCAGAAAAACTTCTTACTTTGACTAATAGAATGCAGCAGAATATCTTGAAGCAGCACTGTTTAACTGCGCCCCAAAACCTAAATGTGTTTGTTTGTCATGTTATGCATGAATGGGGCCAATTTCGTTTCAATTAAAACTATGCCAAAATTATATTAAAACCGTTTCCAAATCACAAGACAACAAAAGATGAACAAACTCAACTAGCTTTTACGGTGAGGGAATGTGTTCTTGTGTTCAAAAACACCATTTAAAGAACGCAGGGCTACTATTTTTAACTGAATCTCTTCATAAAAAAAAAAAAATCAACGCTCATTGCGTGAGATGCTGAAAAAAAACAATGCAAGACCAGGGGTCAAAGAAAAAAATTGTTTACTGCACTAATTGATCCTGACTTATCTCTAATTATAAAACATTTTTCCGACCTTTGTTTTTGCAAGATATATCTTTTCTTTTTTCATCTCTCCTGCAGTTTCTAAAAGTAACATTTTGACTTGTTTCTCTTCCTCCCCCATTTCTGTCTCTCTCGGTGGGGTTGTTGTTGGGGGTGACGAGTGGAGCGTGTGTCCCACTCACAGCCTGTGAAGCGTCTGTCTTAATGAGAGAAAGAATGGCCCAGGAGATAGACACACAACACACAATACACTCCAAACCCAACACACACACAGAGACACATCTCAGCTCCATGGTCCACACAACACCAACACACACACACAGCACTACTCACGTCAAAGAAATGTCCGGTCATGTCACAGCGGTGGCAGCGTTTGTGCCAGTAAGCTCTCTCCAGACAGTTGTCATTGGTGTGGCCGGGCAGTGAGCAGTTAGAACAGTAACGGTTCGGACAGATCCTCAGAAAGTGTCCCTGAAGCCCACATAATGAGCAGCATGACACCTTCTGCTCATAAACACACACACACACACACACTCTCTCTAAGTCACAATAAGGACAACTATGACACTATAAAGTTGGCATATGACATTGTCTTACAGCATTAAAAGAAGAAAACTTTATTTTTAGGTTAGATTTCTTTTTTTTTTTTTAAGAATTATAAAGTATCTTGTATCATGGTGAATATCAAAGATTTGTAATTATAATAATAATAGCAGTAAAAACTACACTAAATATCCCAGTTTCTACTGCTATTTTGTGCAAATAATATATAATATAACAATGTTCAAAACAGATTAAATCTGAAAGACCACTTTACAAACGTACAACTTGTTATAGTTTATACCAGGGTAATTTAACCTTTTAGCCTAAAGGACCATGCTCAATTTTTATAGCTTTTTTTTTGTATTAAGGAAGTAGACAATACTATGGTAACGGCACATACCATGATATTCTTAAAGATATTATACTTCAATGTATCCGTGCTGAATAAAAGTATTAATTTCTTTCTTTAAATGTTATTGACCCCAAAAGTTTGAATGGTAGACTACAAATAACCATTAAGTAACTGATAATTATAACAATCCAGTGAATTAAAATTATATATGCAACCGTTCAACACTTATCTTACACAAAAAGTTTGATCCAAAATGCATTGTTAACCATTTTTATTTCAATCCAATTGTCTAAAATTCAGTTTTGATCATTCAATCGCAGCATTTTGTTAAAGTGGCTAAATAGTATAGTTGACAGTTTTTCTGGGCTAATGCGTACGATAGGTGTCAGCAGTTCATTGAGTGGAAATAAGGGAATTTTTATCTTTGCTGTGGGGCAGCTGACAATAGTGTAGACATAGTGACGTGTGGATAATGATGTACCTTTGGTGCAGGGCAGTTTCTGGAGAGATGGCCGGACTTTTTGCAGTTGTGACACGTGATGGATTTTTCATTGTAGTAACGGTTTGAAACACGCCTCGGGCCAAACCCTTTATTAGAGATCTGAGCCTACACACACACACACACACACACACACACACAGAGAGACAAAAATCACCTCCTATGAAAGACGATCCATAAAAAATAACAATTATTTTCTGTTTAATAAAAAGTATGTTATAAAATTCCAGTATTTTCTTTCATTCATTTCAGATTTGACAAAAAAATGCAACATTACCTCTTTATCCTTTTCTGATACAGCCCAGATCTGTTTATTCTCTTCATCATTTGCATGTTCTACAAAAAAAAGATCAGTACATGAGAAAAACAAACTGAAACCATCAACATGAAATTAGATAAAACTTCAATAAGAGATTGTGTGTGATTATGTGTGTGTGTGTGGATGAAACAAGAGGCCCGCTCCCCTAATTTGACCTTTTTTTTTAGCTCATTCTCAAGAGACAGAGAGACAGTTACTACAGCAATACACAGCTGCACATCAGCACACACTGAATTAAAATACACCACACACACATACATACATACATACATACAGAACACTAACAAAAACTCCACCGAGTACAAAGTAATGAAAATACACAAAACATCTTGCAGTGAACTGACCAGAGCTGACCAGGGTCATCAAAATAAGCATGATACCAACAATCACTGATGCTAGTTTAGTGTGTCACATTCTACTTGCACTGAAAAATGATACTGATTCATGAAACACAATTTGAAGTCATATTTTCACAGGCAAAAAACACACGCACACAATTACAGATATCCACACTTACAGGCAAAATAATTACAATAATTATGAAAACAAACCATATACGTTCATTCATTAATGTGTTTGCTTTTTTAAATCTACACACCCAACACATCGCAACAATGCCCCCAAGCATCCCCGAGGACCCCCAGTACAATAAACAGGAAACATTTCCTTTAATCCTGATGCCCCCCTTCTTTTTCTCTCTCACAGCTACACATACACACACACACACACACCTCCGTGTCTCTACGTGGGGGAAATGCCTCGTCAGTCATGGGCCAGCAGTCACACAAAGCCAGAGAAAGGAGGACCTCACTATGGTAATCCTGCCAGGCCTATTCACAATGACACACACACACCAAAGATACTATAATGTACTTCTCATATGAATATTAGGAATATTTTCATAAATCCACCCAGTTTTCACATCAAATCCCCCTCAAACACTAAAATAAAACAGTATGTGGAGTTTTTCCAATTGGCATCCACACAAAATATACAAAATACACCACCACCAGAGGGGGCGCTAGAGAGTAAGCCATATTCAACATCACAAAAAACCTTGCACTTTCCATACAGCCAGACCGAGATGGAAGGATGAAAAGTAGAGCAAGGGAGGGGGGAATAGTGGAATAGCGACAGATGCTAGTCTCATAGGTATGCTAATTAACATAGAACCAACAAATAAAAATAAGAGGTATGCGCGCAGGGTGCAACTTCATCAGTGTGTGTGCTTTAATGAATTCCAGCTGACTAATAGTCTGAGAGAGAAGAAAGCTGGCGTGCGCCCGGCCACTAGCATTGGGTCCATGGAGAACAAAACGGATGTGTAGGAGAAACTAATTAACCATGAACACAAGCTCCCATTAGAGAGAAAGAGACTGAGACACTATTCTGACTTTAAGAGTACTCTGTGTGTAGGGAACAGGCCATGTGAAGGCGTATCTCAAAACACAAACTGTCTGGGACTCTCTGAGTGTTTCCTCTCACAGCTGAATCACAGTCCTGAACTAAACTGCTACTAAAACTTCTTAATGGGATCCTCCTTGGAAAATTCATTTAGCCAGTTCTGAAGTGAACATGAGGCCACAAAGAATGCCATAGTCAATATACAGGACCATTCTGAATTTATTTATTATTTTTTTTTTTTAAATCTTATGCTCACCAAGGCTGCATTTATTTGATCAAATACAGAAAAACTTTAATTTTTTTTAAATAACTGTTTTCTATTTTAATATACTCATGTGATAGCTAAGCCAAATTTTCAGCAGCCTTTACTTTAAGTCTTCAGTGTCACACGATCCTTCAAAAATCATTCTCTTATGCTGATTTGGTGCTCAAGGAACACCTGTTGTCATTATCAATGTTGAAAATAGTTACTGCTTAATATCGTTTGGAAACTGTGATACATTTGTTTTCAGAATTCTTTGACAAATAGAAAGTTCAAAAGAGCGGCTTTAATTTAAGATAGAAATATTAGAAATCTTTCTATCATTATAAATGTCTTTACTGTGACTGTTAATGACTTTACTGCATCCTAGCTTTTTGACCCCAAACTTTTGAACTTTAGTAAAATTTTTATAATATCCATTAAAAACATTTATGCAGAAACATAAAGAATTATGGTTCATCATAAATAATTGAAATTAGGGTGGTGTGGCATAGTGGTTAAAAACTTGGTCAGGTTGTAGGTTTAAACCCCACCCCACAAAGCCAATTGGTGCTGTCAGTCACATCCTTTGATTCTAGTGCCACATGGCATTTCGGTTAAAGTGATTGGCCCAAAACAGTTCTGACCACACATGAGCCACCATGAGCAAATATGGCATATTTGAAATTGCATACTACTATGGGGTCAAGCAGCAGCCAATCAAGAGCCTTTGGGCCAGTTTTACTAACAGCTTGCGCCAGCGCAAACCATCTTTTGGCGTTAAAATAGTACAGTCAGGTTTTACTAAAGACGCGCAGTTACGAATTAGCGCTGAAAAGGCGTGGACAGTTATTTTTGCGCCTGACCTTATTGAATATGCATTTCTAGGAGTTTCCCTTTCAGATGCAAAATTTATGGGACTAGAGTATTCAAATGAATCAAGCAACGAGATTTACTAACGTTTGCGCTCGTCAAATTACGGGCATTTGCGCCATTATTTAACGCCCAAAAAAGCATGTCTTAAACTATTTTGCGTTTGAAATGGATGAAATGTGTTGCTAGGAGAGGCACCGCAGAGAACAGAGAGCGCATGGTAGAAGGGAGAGGATTTTTTCCACACATTAATTTATTTGGAATGAACACATTATCCGAACATATCATTTGCCAAGCCATGTTATTTTTAATTTGCTTCAGGAAATAAAAGACGACTTGGAACCCTCATCTAGGAGTCACGCAATACCAGCTTTATCAAAACTGTTGCAACACTTCACTTTTCAACGTACTGTGGCTTATTTCTTTCTTTATTGTTTATTCGCGACTACGCTAATTTGCACTGCACTTGGTATATTGCGTTGGTCGATATGTAAATGAGATGTTGCGTCTGTGTTCTTTAATTTGCGCGTTGTTAGTAAATTACCTGCAGAAATTTCCACGCCCATCGGCGCTCTTTTGGAATTGCGCTCTCGCGCTAATTTGCCCTGTTTAGTAAAACTGGCCCTTTGGCATTAATAAGAATGCTATCGGATAATTTTCTCTAGGAATTATACGGACTTGTTTAGACTGATCCATTAAATACTAACGTGAAGTCGTGGCCTAATGGTTAGAGAGTCGGACTCGTAACCCAAAGGTTGCGGGTTTGAGTCTCGTACCGGCAGGGATTGTAGGTGGGGGGAGTGAATGAACAGCGCTCTCTCCCACCTTCAATACCACGACTGAGGTGCCCTTGAGCAAGGCACCGAACCGAACCCCCAACTGCTCCCCGGGCGCCGCAGCATAAATGGCTGCCCACTGCTCCGGGTGTGTGTTCACGGTGTGTGTGTGTTCACTGCTGTGTGTGTGCACTTTGGATGGGTTAAATGCAGAGCACTAATTCCTAGTATGGGTCACCATACTTGGCCACACGTCACATCACTTTTTTTTTTTTGTAGGCTCACTCAGTCAGACTTCTGACTATTGGACTAAAATTCAGTCAGCTTTGTTGTTTACAGCTTGCCGTTTTTGCATGCATTGAAGGAATTTGAGGCTACCACGAGCAAGGCATTTGTAATGAGACATATTTCCAAATGAAGCAGAATATTCAACAAGGGAAGAAAAGGTTGAGCAGGATGTTATTGATTCACTGGAACTGACTGGATCATGAAAAGGGGACTTTCAATAGCATAGCAGACCTAGATCTTGATGTTGAATTGCAATCAATGGTGAAAACACTAAACCCAAATATGGACGCTGAAGATCAAGTTCACCCTCAAGAGCATCTACAAGTATATCAATAACTTCTTCAAGTTTCTTGGTTATTCACAGTTATATTACTATTAAGTGGCATTAATCTGCATTAACAACCCAATTTTAGAGAGGCTAAATCACCTACAACAGTAGCTTAAAATGCGTTAAATGCTAAACGGCTATGTGGCAATTCATATTATTTTGGACATGTGGCCTAGGTGACTTCAGCTGAAATGCTAAGTCATTTTAGAGGTAGAGAATAATATTACATATTGATACAATACTGAACAATAGTAATAAAATACATTTTCTTTTCTTTGGAACAATGTGCATTGTGCACTGATCCAGAAAGTGCATGTAAGGGATAGTTCACCAAAAAATAAAAATTGTGTAATTAATTACTCACCACCATGTTGTTCTCATGTTGCATCTTTGAAAAAACACAAAATTCCCTCAAAACTTTCATGCTCCAAAAAAGTGTATAAAGGCGTTGTAAATGTATTCGATATGAACAGTGTCTAGCAAGCAGGTTTGAACTAATGTTTACCATATTTGAAGTGCTCCATGGGTGCATTAATCATTGTTTATATGTGAATAAAAGCCTAAATTTAAACTGTTCATCATACAAAGCATTTGTCTCTTCAGACTCTAATTAAACCAGTCAAATCATATGGTCTTCTTGAATCATGAAAGTTTTGGGGCTATGGACTTTCATTTGAGGGGCAGGCATCTCTCAGGTTTCAATAAAAAGATATCTTCAACTGTGTTTTGAAGATTAATAAAAGCATTATGGCTTTGGAAGTACACAAGAGTGAGTAAATTAAGACATTTTCATTTTAGTTTGTTTGCATAGACAGCACATGACATCCCATACCAACCAGTCACACACGCATCCATCCTGAGCACCTCTCTCCGCACTCGTCTCCCTTAACAACCTCCCTCAAGTGTAACCATTCAGCCTCCTCTAGCAGACTCCACAGCACCGGGAGGGGAAACATGGGACTGAACCCTAAAAAAGCTGATCAAAGCCTCAAGCAGGCCCCGCCGTTAACCAGTTTTGCGGGCCCTTTGTGCGGTGCTGTTGACTTCTGCCACTGTGCTGGCGGAGGGGACAAAGAGAGCGGAAGAGAGGCCAGCAGTCAGATTAAC